GGAGAGCAAAAGTTGCAACACATTAACCTTGAATAAAATAATTTATGGATTCCTCTTCCGTAGTTATTTTTCGCCAGTCATTATGTCTCATCTTTTCTATAAGATTGTGTCTGGTAAAAGAAACGAGATTCTAGTTAGACTGAACCATCTGTTATATTTTCTGCCGGGTATCAACATGACAATCTGTACTTTATTCTTAACAGGGATTATGCTATTGATTGTCAATTGCTTGCCGGCGGTGACAAACATCTGTGAACGTTTACCACTGCAATACTTAAACAATTTAATTTGCTCAACTAAAAGCATTCAAGTTTATTCTATTTGGAGTTTGGCATGCTTTCAAATCCATCGCTCGTATGATTTGACAAATAAAAGTCTTCAGTTTCATAATGTCATGTTTTACGGAGTGGTATTATTTCAGTAACCTCAGAAGAAAAGCCAGATTACATCAGATGGCTGCTGGTAGTGCTCCCAGTAGCTGATGTGTGCATAAAATTACAAAACCCTAAAATATTTCATTTCAACGCCCTTTAACATAAGCAGTACAGGAGACGAAAGAAAATGGAAAAGAGATAACTAATTTCCAAGTAAGACTTTTAGCGGAAATCACGGCTGAATTCAGAACGGAACGAAATTAAAAAGGACTTGAATTCGAACAGTAGCTGAGTCAAAAGTGAACTTATTAAGTGAAATGTACCACCTGTAGATGAACTGATTATATTAGAATCTATGCAGCTCAAACAGAGCGTGTCACGTAACTTCAAAACCTTCCAGCTTGTTTAGTTTTCAACTTCCGGAAAAAAAACTACATCATCAAGTGTTATGCAAATGTATTTCAAGTGTTAGCGTGCTTACGGATGAGGGCATCCTCCAAATCTACCAGGCACAACAAGATAATTAAGATAACTGAAGTTCCCATGTTAAAAAAACCGCACATGAATTGGTTTTTCTTCTTTTTATACTTATAGTTTGAGACAGTAATTAGTGAAAACTTAAAGAGAATTGACGAAGTCTGCGCAAACCTGTTGCACAATAGTCTAACCTAGACATTAACACCCCCAAAAGAGAGAAACATTTAAACAGGCCGTTGAAAGAACAATTGCTCAGACTATCAGTTTTTTTGTTTTTGTTTTTAATGAGCAAATAGTGCTACTGGCGCATTTGCAGATTTTGGTGGACATGTTTGTTTACCTTGAAATGAATGAGGAAAATCACAATTTACATTATTTTGAATTTCCGCTGGCGTCGTATAGCAGAAGACTGAAAAATGGCTAACACATCGCTTTGTCCAAAATACTCGATTTCTTTGCAAGCTGGAGGTATCTAATTAGTGTATTACAAAGAAACTAGTCACGAAAACTATATGCGTAAAACTTAGCTTTTTTAAGGTAAAACTTTACACTATGGAAAACATGGATGTTGGTATATAACTTGCTGTTAACGGTGTAAATCATTTTATTTCCGTTACCCACAGCAATATGACCAGGCAAACGTTACTTCAGGCGTGTTCACAAAGGAGGAAAATTTACTGATCCACAAAATTCGGATTGCACTCAGCAGTCAAATTAGTGAAGTTGGTTTTAATGCCGATGGGGCTGATAGTGTTAAAGATACTTTTCCAAGAACGTTTTTCAAAAGCGTTTAATGATTATCGAAATGTGTTTATCAGCAACCTTTCACATTCAAATAGAACGTAATATGATAGCCTCAATTTGAACGCCTTCGCCAGGTCAAGAAAGCTGAAGCAGTAAGGCATGAAACGATGTATGATTAACTTCATAGCGGACAAATTGTCGAAGTCATCTGATAGTATAGAAAGAAGAGGCATTCAATCAACACTCGTTGGCACGAAACTGACGTGTTTATCTTACAAACACCAGTGGTTCAATATGGCCTTCCTAGTCCAAGTAACGACTGGTTGCAAACTGCGCTTACTTCAACCACTGAGACCGCGAAAGTCATTATGGAAGAGCGATTGACCTTACTTTATTTCGTTGACTCCAGTTTTACTTTGTATTTTGTGGCCCTCATTTGATCTAATTTCACATATGCATACGGTGATTGCAATCTTAATCAATCTTAAAGACACTAAAGCCACGTCAATAAACGAAAGTGAATCATGAGCGTATCTAGATATATCACCTTGTATCGAAAATAATAGAATCCCCATAGTGTCTCAATAAGCTTGTCGCAATGAGCTTAACAACATGAATTCAAGAAATTCAAGAAACCATTCGCTTTCAAGTTTTGCTCCTTATATTTTGGAAAGCAATCTGAAAACCTTATCTATATCGCACCTTAATACAGTAATCGCCTGTTCTTTCTGGCAATATTTGTTATCGAGTTGCCACGGTTAGGATGAACCTACTTTTGCAGCTCAACCTTGACATCGTAACATGCTCATAAGCTAGGTCTCAAGAGAATCTTGCCTGTTCTTGAATTTATCGAACCCTCAATGAAATACTCAGCGCTCATTATGTCAATGAGATTTAGTTTTGCTAGTCATGTACGATTTGTATACATTGAATATGACTGTTCCAATAAATTTTTCAAAAGGTTCATATTTTTGGCCACTACATCAAAACGCAATATGGTTACAGTGTACATTCATTAGTACTACCGTCTTCAGTACTTAGGTTAGAGGGAAAGTGCTACTTCATAGTTAGCAACCTCTGTGAAAACGGATGGTAAACGGAATGTGAGTCGAATGTGTTATGAGATCAAGTGTTCCTCTAATTGTATTATAATTGTTATAAACCGTTTCCAACCATTACTCAATAAAGCGTGACATTTACAGGAAACCAACATGGTCTGCACAGTGTATGCATTTCACTAGTT